GAGGATTGTTCTTCATTCACATTAGTGTTTGTTTGGTCTTAAAGGTGTTAAGAACCTTTGATCTCCCTATAGGTTAGATAGTAAGCATAGGTTGTACAATCATTCTAATTATAGTGAAATCTCTTTCGTGTTGGAAAGGGGACTGGAGTACTCTCGGATTGTGAGGGGAACCAGGATATATCACCGTGTTCTTTACTTTTCCGCATTTATCGCTTTCATCACCATAATCAGGAAAAGATAAAGATATAATCAAAACCTTCAAACACTTAACCAAAAAATTACTACCAAGCATTCTCATAAAATCGAATAAATTTTATAAGACCTAATTCACCCTCCCTCTTAGGCACTCTGAGACTTACAATTGGCACCAGAGCAAGTTATAGGTAACTTGTTCCTAAAGATCCAGAATGGCTTCCGCAAATCATCAACCAGTTTTCAGAGATGGTGGTAGTAACAACAAGCCTCCTCTATTCTGTGGTGAATATTTCGACTTCTGGAAAATACGCATGAAGGCGCATTTAGAAGCACAAGGAGAGGAAGTATGGGATGCTGTTGAAAATGGTCCATTTATCCCGATATCAGTAATCAATGGCATTGGTTCTGTAAAACCCAAAACTGCATGGGACGACGATGATAAAAAGAAAGTTCTCTATGACAAAAAGGCAATAAACCTTCTTCAAGGTGCACTCAGTATGGACGAATTTTTCCGTGTCTCGAACTGCAAGACAACAAAAGAAATATGGGATACCCTGGTTCAAACTCATGAAGGAACAACTGAAGTAAAAAGATCAAGGCTAAATACCTTGAGTCAAGAATATGAACTATTTCGAATGCAGCCCGGAGAATCCATTCTTGACTTACAAAAGAGATTTGTGCATTTGACAAATCACTTAAATGCTCTTGGTAAAACCTTGACAAATGATGAACTCAACTTGAAAATCCTTAGATCATTGACTAGGGAATGGCAACCAAAGGTAACAGCAATCTCGGAAAAGAAGAGTCTCTCCGCAATGACTTCCGCTACATTATTTGGCAAGCTTCAAGAATATGAAACGGAACTTGCAAGACTCGAAAAGCATGAAATCCAAGTAAAAGACTCAAAAGACATGGCTTTTAATACAAGGATAAAAAATCATGATAGCAATCAAGAGGATGAATCCACTAGTAGTGAAGATGATGATCTTATCAAGAAGATTGAAAAGGTTCTACGAAAAGAAAGAAAAAGAGAAGCACCAACAAGGAAGATTATATGCTTTGAATATGGAGAAAAGGGACATGTTAAAAGTGAATGTCCTACACTTGAAAAGAAGAAGAAATATTTCAAGAGAAATAAAGATAAAAAGTCAAAAAAAGCATATATAGCATGGGAAAGTTCATCTCCCGATTCCAAAATCAATCAACATGCAAATCTAGCATTAATGGCTTCACATCACTCCGACGATGAAGAAGAGGTTAGTAATGAATTTAATCTTTTTGATGATGATGTTCAAGGTGCTATTGATGAACTCTTGGGAGAATGCAAAAGTTTATACAAAAAGGTGTCAAATCAAGAAAAAGAACTTTTAATTTGTCTAGAAAAAATTGACACCATGACTAAAGATTTTGATCTTCAAAAACAAAATTTTATTAAAGAAAAGGAAAACTTTGCATGCTCCAAGTGTGAATCAAATGTCTTTCAAATTATTCAATTGAAAAGAGTCATTGAACGATATGAAAAAGGACAAATATGATTGGAAGGATTACTAAGCCAACAACGTTATCCAAATGATAAAAGAGGTCTTGGTTATGTGAATTCTCAGAAACCAAGTAACAATCCCACTGTTTTTGTAAAGGCTAGTAATAGTTCCAATCTCAAGAAAGTAGAAAAGAAGCAAGTTGTTCATAATCATCAAAAGAAAAAGGCTAATGTATCGAAAAAGAAAACATTTTCTAAGAAGAAATCTTATCCTTCTAGATATAGAAGTAACTTTGAACCTACTTGTTTTTATTGTGGTATTAAAGGCCATACACCTAATACTTGCTATGTTAGAAACTTTAGTATGGCAAGTGGGCATTATGTGTGGGTTAAGAAAGGAACTAACTATGATGGACCCAAAGCACATTGGGTACCAAATCAAACTTAATTTGTTTTTGTAGGTATGCTTGAAGACCACATACAATATTTTGTATCTTGATAGTGGTTGTTCAAAGCATATGACAGGAGATGTACACCAATTTTCATATCTAGTACATAAAGCCAAAGGGTATGTCACATATGGAGACAACACCAAAGGAAAAATTCTCGGTGTTGGAATAGTTGGCACACCTCCATCCATTCAAATTGATAATGTTCTCTATGTGAAGGATTAAAGCACAATCTTCTTAGCATAAGTCAACTTTGTGATAGAGGGTTCAAGATCAAATTCAACAAAGAAGAATGTCTCATTATGGATGAGGCAACCAATGAGGTAAAACTCAAAGGTATAAGAACTAACAATATTTTTATGATTACTTTAGATGATTTGTCTCTGAAGGTACAATGTCTTATGGTAAACAACAATGACGCTTGGTTATGGCACAAGAGGATCGCTCACATTCACATGGAGCACTTGAACAAATTGGTTAAGCATGACTTAATTATTGGTCTACCAAAGATGAAGTTCATCAAAGACAAATTCTGTAATGCATGCCAAAAGGGCAAACGGACCAAAACAACTTTCAAATCTAAGAATGTGGTGTCTACTACAAGACCACTACAATTGTTACACATGGATCTCTTTGGTCCATCAAGAACAAAAAGCTTGGAAAAGATCTTGGTATTTTGGATGAAGGTGATATCTAATGTTTCTCTTAAAATGCACGTCTTAAGTTTTATATGAATTTATTTCACTCTTTTTCCCCATCCTTTTTGATGTTAACAAAGGGGGAGAAGAATATGCATGTGTGTTGTTTTGTTTCAAAGAAATTGCAGGCCCAAATAAATATCAAACTCACTCCAAAATTCAAAGAATCATGGACTTAGGGGGAGCATACAATTTAGGGGGAGCCTTGCATTTGCTCAACATGTTTACTACACAAAACAACATAAACATTTCAAGAAATCGTTTTCAAGACTTGGTTGTCATCATCAAAAAGGGGGAGAATGTAATTGCAAGCTTCTCAAGTCATATTTAAAGCATGTGTTTTGATGAAGACAACATGGACATCAACATTTAAAGGATGTGCAAAAAGCTTATCAACATCAAATAAAAGTCTTGAAGATTATTGAAGAATTATTGAAGAATCATCAAATGACAAATATGGTATAAATAATTCTTAAAATCTTGAATATAGATGTTCACAATATGCATTCATCAACATATACATATTCCATAACTTTAACATCAAGAAAACTTTGTTTGAAATATCTTTCAAAAAGTATTTTTGAAAATAACTCTTTAGGAACCGGTTCCTCCCTAACAGGGAACCGAGTTCCAGAATTTCTCAAAAAACATGTCCCTGGATTTTGTACCAGGAACCGGGTTGTACCAATAGGGGAACCGGTTCCTGCGTGATATTTTTGAATTCCAACTTATAACGTTCACTAAGAACCGGGTTCTGTCAGTGTCGGAACCGGTTCCTAGCGAACCAGTGCAACTTTTCTTTTGTTTTTTAAACATTTTTCAAGTGGTATCTTTTCATGAATGCATTGCAACTTTTCATATGAATTGGCATGAATGAAGAGGTTCTTACAACTTTATAAAATGCAGATTTTCTTATTTCAAACAATGCTTCAATTTTCAAATTAAAAAATATACTTCTTCATTAACAATTTTCTCATTCATTCAAATTTGCACATAAACTTTCATGTGTTCATAATTTTGTGAAACTTGCCATATACACTTTCATTATCATTACAAGTTTCATACATACATTGTGAACATTTATATACATTGTTGAGAATTGTTTTTATCTTGAAGAAGAAGATCAATTGAAGATTGATAAAGCTCTCCATATACTTCAAACTAAACTATTGTATTACTTAAAGGTTTTTCCCTTACTATCCAGGATTGTTGGAAGTAAGTGTTGTGATTTGAAGAAGATTGTTCTTCATTCACATTAGTGTTTGTTTGGTCTTAAAGGTGTTAAGAACCCTTGATCACCCTATAGGTTAGATAGTAAGCATAGGCTGCACAATCATTCTAATTATAGTGAAATCTCTTTCGTGTTGGAAAGAGAACTGGAGTACTCTCGGATTGTGAGGGGAACCAGGATATATCACCGTGTTCTTTACTTTTTCGCATTTATCGCTTTCATCACCACAATCAGGAAAAAATAAAGATATAATCAAAACCTTCAAACACTTAACTAAAAAATTACTACCAAGCATTCTCATAAAATCGAATAAATTTTATAAGACCTAATTCACCCCCCTCTTAGGTACTCTGAGACTTACACTTTAAAGATGTCGATGAAATCCTAATCATTAAAAAATTCTAAATTAATACACTACCAGAAATTTCAGATATAACATAATAAATTTAAAATTTCCAAGAATTTATACGTACAAAAAATTCCATATAAACTACTGAAAATTTTACATGTATTAAAAATTTGTAGTGCTTTATCAAAAATTTCGTAAGGAAATTTTGTTACTCCATCAGGAAAGGCATTTCAGAATTAATGAAAAGTGGAGTAAAATTCTGCTTTTATCTATTAATGCATATTATTATTCTTAAAATATTAGTAAAATTCATATTAAATCAAAATTGTCCGATTTTAATCTAAGGGTTACAAATAAATCAAATGCTTGAATGAGTGTGACATATTCCGAATTCCCCCAAAATTCTACACCATTTAAAATGAATCTACCTTCAATCTGTTTTTGTTTTTGACAAAGTCTATAGTATAATTAGTGTACACAGTATTCTCCGAATCACTCTTTTTTTCTCATAGCCATATTTCATCACTTCACACAACTTGGCTTATTCATTCTCCACAACCAAACCCTAGCACACGGGCCGCCCCACTCGTGCTCCGCCATGACGATCAACAAACTCCTTACCCTAGTCCGCCGTTCATCTCGGCGGACTGCCATCCTCTCCTCCCTCCGATCCTCCCCCCTCTCCACCTCCGCCGGACATGTTAATGCCTATACGTCGAGGGAGCAGACTACTTATTATGCTAAGGTTTCGCAAAATGATGTTCCGGTTGCGCTTGATATTCTTGCTGATATTCTTCAGAATTCGAAATTTGATGAGAATCGGATTAGTCGTGAGCGCGATGTAATTCTTAGAGAAATGGAAGAGGTAATTTTTTTGCCTTTTGTTGGTTGGTATACAATTTATTTCTGAATTGCATTATACATGAAATAGGAATTATCTGCCGTGTTGTTGTATAGATCTGTTTAACTTGTTTGATTAATACTCTGTTGTGAGTGTTTGGTGGGAATTTGCTGAGAATAGTTTACAATAATATACAAAACCATTATATTTTTTTACCTTTTTGTTTATTTATTTTGGATGTGTTGAAGATGGTGTATTGGAGATTAGTGTTTTGATCCCCTCACCCCGCGAATAATGATTAATATACAATCAACTGATATTTGTTTGTTGTTAAAAAATTGGACTTCAAGTTTTAGATACAATGTTAGGGAATAATTTCTTGTTGAATGTATGGTAAATTATTTCCCTTTAGAGTTTGACTGAGTGTTGAAATGAAAAACATATGTAGAGCTAGAAGCATGGGTGTATTTAGCATGTCTGAATTCTGAATTTATAGGGATAGTCCTATAGTTAAAGTTAGAGCGGGTTCAATGACCCGAAGAAGGGATTGTATTAGGACTTTGAGTTTTATGATAATCTATCATTTATAATTCTCTTTTTAAACTAGATAGTTTAATTGAAATGAAATTTTTATCTTTCTTTTCCTATTAAACTCACCCGTTCATTCAAGCATATTTTTAGTGTGAAAATGCGTTTTTTTTTTGTCGTTATCAACTATGCAGTGGCTGAAATGAGAAAGATATCAACTATGATGGTTACAAAAGTTTTGGTATGATTACTTTTTCCAATAACTATTATTATAAGAAATTAGCTTTAATTTATATGATTAATTTTGGGTTGAAGTTATTGGATCAAACTTCTTTAAATTGGGTTTAATTTTGACATATTTGGCTTCAGTCATCCAAATATGCAGGTGACTTCATCTTTATTTGTTTGGCAATATTAGAGTTATATCTTAGAATATGAATAATCAGCACTATAGAATAATTAAGTCCAGCCTTAATTTAATAGAATAAGAAAAGTCTTCCTTAATTGTAGAGCTTGAATGATTCAACTCTTGAATGTTCATCTCCTCTTGTATAAATAGAGCATAATGCTCCTTTCCAATTAAGCAATAACAGAATCTGTTTCTCTCTTTTCTCTTGTAGCTTTTTCTCTCTTCTCTCTCATATCTCACTCTAATATGGTATCAGAGCTTCGGTTCTATCCATGGCAGCGATTCCAGTAACTACAGCTCCGGCCACCCCAACATCTATGTCCTTCCAACTCAAAATCACAGAAAAACTTGATGAGAAGAATTTCCTACTTTGGCGCCAACAAGTAGATCCTTTCGTTAACGCGAACAATCTTCAAAACTACCTTTACCTTCGTGACATACCGAATCAATACCTGACTGATGAAGATCGTGCCGCTGCTCGTGAGAACCCTGCGTATCGCACCTGGATTACGCAAGATCAGTGGCTTATGACGTGGCTTCAATCCACGCTTTCACCTTCAATTCTTTCACGTGTTCTTGGATGCGTTCATTCCTACGAGCTCTGGGAACGTATTCTTGCGCATTTTCAAAAGCTTACACGTGCGAAAGCAAGACAACTACGAGCGGAACTCAGATCTACAACACTTGAAGACAAATCTGTTGGTGATTATCTGGTTCGCATCAAAGCTCTTGTTGACGCGCTTGCTTCAGTAGGAGATCCAGTTCCAGATCAGCAACACATTGATGTGATTCTTGAAGGTCTTCCTCAAGACTTTGCCTCTGTTATTTCAGTTATTGAAAGCAAGTTTGATTCAGTAGAACTTGAAGAAGTTGAAGCTCTTCTTCTTGCTCATGAGATGAGATACAACAAGTATAAGAAACACTCACAAATGGAGGTGGCTGCCTCAGTGAATCTCACTCAAGCCAATTCTCAACCTGAAACTGATAACTCGAATAACAAGAACAATGAACAAGCTGTGAATTCAACCTTTAATCCAACCTATTCAAGAGGAGGCCGTGCAGCTGGCCGTGGTGGTGGACGCGGCCGTGGGAGAGGTAGGTTCAGCAACATTCAATGTCAAGTTTGCTTCAAATATGGTCATCTTGCTGCTAACTGCTATCATAGGTTCAATCAACAATTTCAACCTAACATACCTGCTGATTTTCAAACAATGAACCTACAAAATTTCTATCCGTATCAACCAATTGGTGGACCTCAGTTTGCTCAGCCCATGGTTAACACTCGGTCACGCCCAAGCTATCAACCAAGACTTGCCCCTCTCCCTGTTCCTCAGTCACATATCACTCCCAATGCTATGATTGCTAACACAACTTCAGTTCCAAGCAGTGCCTGGTTCCCAGACTCAGGAGCTTCTTATCATGTTACCAATGCCTCTCAAAACATACAGCAAACCACACCTTTTGAAGGTCCTGATCAGATCTTCATTGGTAACGGTCAAGGTTTGCACATTCACTCTTCAGGCTCTTCTTATTTTCCTTCTCATTCTAAACCTAACACTCCATTAGCTCTTCATAATTTACTGCTTGTTCCTTCTATTACAAAGAACCTGATAAGTGTCAGCAAATTCTGTCTTGATAATAGAGTTTTCTTTGAGTTTCATGCTGATATGTGCTATGTCAAATCTCAGGCTACCAATGAAATTCTGCTCCAAGGTCGTGTAGGAAGTGATGGCCTGTACCAATTTTCCCATCTTCAGCTTCTTAAGTCTCCTTCAACAAGTCAAGTCTCATGTCTCACCTTAGACTCTAATGCTCATGTTTCAAGATCTGATTCCAGCACTAGTGATAGGGTTTCAGTTTCTAATCAAAATGTATCAGCTAATAACTCATATAATTCTCAACATACTTGGCATTTACGCCTTGGTCATCCAAATTCTAATACTATGAGACTTGTTTTAGCTCAATGTAATATTCCTTATTCTAATAAAGCTGAATCTATCTTTTGTTCTGCCTGCTGTATGGGAAAGGCACATAGGCTGCACTCCCCTCAGTCACAAACTCAATATCACTCTCCTCTTGAATTAATTTTCAGTGACCTATGGGGTCCTGCCCCAGTCAAATCCTCCCAAAACTTTACCTACTACATCACCTTTGTTGATGCATACACCAGATTTACTTGGATCTATTTGCTCAAAAATAAATCTGAAGCCTTAACTATCTTTAAACAATTCAAAGTCATGGCTGAATTACAATTTGGATTTCCTATTAAATCTGTCCAAACTGATTGGGGTGGTGAATTTCGCCCATTTACAAAGTTTCTTTCTGATCTTGGCATTATTCATCGCCTAGTTTGCCCTCACACTCATCACCAAAATGGTGTAGTGGAGAGGAAGCATAGACACGTTGTTGATCTTGGTTTAACCCTCTTGAGTCATGCCTCTTTACCTCTCAAATTTTGGGACCATGCCTTTTTAACTGCTGTCTACCTAATAAATAGGTTACCAACCATGTCTCTCAATCAACATATACCATATGCTGTCCTTTTCAATCAAAATCCTGACTATAAATTCCTTAAAGTCTTTGGGTGTGCTTGTTTTCCTCTCCTTCGCCCATACAACTCTCAAAAATTTGACTTTAGATCCCACGAGTGCCTTTTTCTAGGGTACTCTACAGCTCACAAAGGTTACAAATGTCTCTCTCCAAGTGGTAGAATATTCATCTCTAAAGATGTTCTTTTCAACGAGTCCAAATTTCCTTACAATGATCTTTTTTCCTCTAATGTTTCTCTCCCCTCATCAACCATTCCATCCTCCTCCTCATCTAAAGTAACCCTTAACACACAAGCTCTCCCTCATGTTTTTCCCGTTCCTACTGCTTCCACTACCTCACACTCCTCTTCTTCTTCTCAATCCAATTCCAGCCCCACACCTATTGTCTCACACTCCTCTTCTTCTTCTCAATCCAATTCCAGCCCCACACCTATTGTCTCACACTCCTCTTCTTCTTCTCAATCCAATTCCAGCCCCACACCTATTGTCTCACACTCCTCTTCTTCTTCCCAATCCAATTCCAGCCCCACACCTACTGCCTCTGGGTCAGCAACCCCTATAACACAAACAGCCAGCACTAATCCTACTCCTTCACCCTCTTCAAATGCCAACAATCAGCCTACTACTACCACTTCACTATCCTCCTCCTCTATTTATGCTCCTAGGGATCCTAACCTTCAGCCTCTCCCCACCAATACTCATCCTATGACTACTAGAACTAAATCTGGTGTACCCTTACCTCGTCTAAATCCTTCCATTTTTCTTGTCAATTCTGAGCCTAAGAGTGTTAAAACTGCTCTCCAAGATCCTAAGTGGTTTGCTGCTATGCAAGAGGAGTATGGTGCCTTGATAAGGAACAACACTTGGTCTTTGGTACCACTGCCTGCTAACAGGAAAGCAATAGGCTGCAAGTGGGTTTTTCGTGTAAAGGAAAATGCTGATGGGACAGTAAATAAGTACAAAGCTAGGCTTGTTGCTAAGGGGTTCCATCAAGTCCATGGATTTGACTTTAATGAAACTTTCTCCCCTGTTATTAAACCGGTCACAATTAGAATTATTTTGACTCTTGCTCTAACTTACAATTGGCCTTTGCAGCAGTTGGACATAAACAATGCCTTTTTGAATGGCATTCTTGAAGAGGAGGTCTATATGATGCAACCCCCTGGATTTACTGCCCCTAATTCATCTCTGGTTTGTCACTTGCACAAGGCCTTGTATGGCCTAAAACAAGCCCCGAGGCAATGGTTTGAAAGACTCAAAACCACTCTTTTATCCTTTGGCTTTCTAAACAGCAAGTGTGATACTTCACTTTTCATCTACAAGCATCACAATGCTGTCATTTATATGCTGGTTTATGTTGATGATATAATCATCACAGGAAACTCCCCTCCTCTCATCAAGCAAGTTACTCAACAATTAAATCATGTGTTTGCTCTCAAACAACTTGGTGACTTGGATTATTTTTTGGGCCTTGAGGTGAAGAAATTGTCCAATGGAAATCTCCTTCTCACTCAATCTAAGTACCTAAGGGACTTGCTAATCAAAACTGATATGGAGAATTCCAATCCAGTTGCTACTCCTATGGCTTCCTCCACCAAACTCATCAAAACAGGGTCTGCTGCCTTGTCTGATGCCTCCCACTACCGGTCCATTGTAGGGGCCCTGCAGTATGCAACAATTACACGGCCAGAAATCTGCTATGCTGTTAACAAAGTATGTCAATTCATGGCACACCCCTTGGAGTCCCATTGGCTAGCTGTCAAGCGTATTCTGCGCTACCTAAAAGGAACTATCACCTCTGGTTTATTGTTCACTCCAGCCTCCACTGTTCCGTTCTCTCTGCAAGCCTATTGTGATGCTGACTGGGCTGCTGACCCAGATGATAGAAGATCCACCTCTGGGTCAGCTGTGTACTTAGGCCCTAATTTGATCTCTTGGTGGTCCAAAAAGCAAACTGTTGTTGCCCGTTCTAGTGCTGAGGCAGAGTATCGCAGCTTGGCTCACACCACAGCTGAAGTTTTATGGGTTCAAACTTTGCTAGCTGAACTAAAAATTCCCTTGACAACTCCAACCATCTATTGTGACAACCAGAGCACAGTTGCTATGGCTCATAACCCTGTTCTTCATGCAAGAACAAAGCATATGGAAATTGACCTCTTTTTTGTAAGAGAAAAGGTGATTAATAAGTCTCTCACTGTCTGCCACATTCCTGGTGTTGACCAGAAGGCTGACATCCTCACCAAGCCTCTCTCATGTTCAAGATTTATAGAGCTCAGCAGCAAGCTCAACCTGTCTGCCTCAAGTCAGCCTTTGCAGCCACCTTGAGCTTGTGGGGGAGTATTAGAGTTATATCTTAGAATATGAATAATCAGCACTATAGAATAATTAAGTCCAGCCTTAATTTAATAGAATAAGAAAAGTCTTCCTTAATTGTAGAGCTTGAATGATTCAACTCTTGAATGTTCATCTCCTCTTGTATAAATAGAGCATAATGCTCCTTTCCAATTAAGCAATAACAGAATCTGTTTCTCTCTTTTCTCTTGTAGCTTTTTCTCTCTTCTCTCTCATATCTCACTCTAATAGGCAAGAGCTAGGTATAATTTATACTATACTTTCAATTGGTAATTTTCTAATTTTGGTTCCCTTCAATAAGAAATGATTGCAGTTGCTGCATTCACATATAAAATGATTGCAGTTCAGGCTTGGTCTTTCCTGATTCACATTTGAGTTTCTTCATGACATATTTATAATGTTATACTCTCCTCTAAATGTTTAGTATCCAAGCATACATAGGTTACGCGTACCCATATTAATATTCTTAATTTCTTATGTTAACCCTATAATAAATTCCCAAAAAATGTCTTCTAGATAACAGATATGAGAATGTCAAACAAAGATGAAACACAAGTGGAAACTGCATGGTATTCATTAATTACCTTGTCAGCCAAAGAAGCCCATTGGTGCAACTGGATGATGATTTAGCGGTTTTACTTTCAATCTCTACTTGTACCAAACTGTACAATATATTAAATCTTGATGGATTAGATGAATATAAAGTTTCCAATCTCTGCCATGAAAATTAATATAGTATAAAGTGAGAACATGGACCATTTGATAAGGATATACTTCTAGTGGTACATGTACATACCAATAATTGCAAGAAAAGCTTAATCATAAATAAGAGCTAAAAACTCACAAATAGGAAACAAAAGATTTGCAGCTTAATACCATAATACAGCTACACCGTGTAATCATAAGAAATAAAGAAAAATACATCCAAAGCTGCCAGATAGATATGATGACCATGTTGAACAGTGTTACAACTCACAGATTGCGAAAAATAGAGGTGGCTCTAAGGTTGAATTTTTGAATCAGTAATAAAAAAGAGTTTGCAAATAGGATGATTGGTTGTTGACAGAGAATAGAGCTTTCTGCAAGCCAATAGGTTTGGAGAAGAAACACCTTTCTCAGTCTTTTGATGCTGTTGTTGCTGTAAACAGCCTTCTGACTCGTCTAATTTCTTCTGGTAAAGTTCTTCTTTTATCCCATATGAACTTGTATTGCAGCTTAAAGTTCTATGCCCTTTCTCAAAACTCAAAAGGGTATAGGGGATTGAACTCGAGTATTTGGCTTCAAGTTCAATACTGCTTATGCTTAATAAACCAAATCACACTCTTTAACTTCAAAAAAAGTAAATATACAACAAGAATAATACTATTAACTAGCACGAATGCATAAGTATTTAATATATGTACAATAAGAATACACAAAAACAATAGGAAAGTGGCGTTTTGGTTCACTGTTTTGCTGTTTGTTTATAAAGTTGCAGATTGTTTCAATTCCTCACTTTATAAATGATCGTTGTTTTTTTAAAATTCCAATGACTCTCATATATTTTTGTGTCTGTGATTGTGATGTGATCATTGTTATTCCAAAAACATGATATACATTTAATAAAGAACTGGTATACATTTAATTTGTGCGTGAAACTGCAAATCAAGCCAAAACATGATAATTCCATATTTATCTAATTTCAGTTTTAAAACTGATTGTGATGTTATTTTTATCAAATTTGGTTGTTGGCAACATGATGGCAATTGATATGTTCTCATCAAAAGAAAAGTATTGGATATTTCTTTATTCTCTCTTTTATGAAACTTACCTTGTTCCGTCCTAAAATATACAAACGATGGAGTGGAATCTTCATTCCTCTCTGCTCCGTTTCACTCCATCTCGCTCTGTACATTTTAGGAAATATTAATGAACAGGAAGTCCTATAGTTACTTTTTGGCGTCATGGCAAGTTTCTAGATGATGGTCATTTTCAAGTTGTAATTTTATAAAACTGTTTGCCATTCTGATTGAGATTTGCGTTTATCATTATTCATACGAATAGCTCTAGTATCTAGTGTTTTAGTTTTAACTACAGAATACAAAATTGAGTTTTTCCAAGATGACACAATGGGATTTGAAGCAAGTAAAATTTTGTTGTATATTAAATTGATTAATACTGTTGTGAAACTATACCTATAGGGGTTGAGGGAGAAAGATTGGAAATATAGAGGAAGACAAAACCTTCTGTTATTTGGGTTGGATTATAGTCTTGTATCGTAGTTTTGAGTTTGGTTTATAGTTCTACATGTGTTAGTTTATTCATGTAACATTAGTTAAAAGGATTACTGCGATGTTTCTTGGTGCTTAGCTTCTTCATAATCTTTGTCTAGCGTCATCTCTTCCTTCATACTATCTTAATGTCTTTGTGCATTTTCAATTGAAAGATAATGATTTACCACTCGAAAAGAAACTGAAAATTGTATAATTTGTATTCTTGAAAATATGCAGGAGCATGAGAAGAAGCCAATTATTAGCGAAGTTATTCCAGAATATGATATTGCTATTGTTGGAGGAGGCATGGTTGGCATGTCTTTAGCCTGTTTCTTAGGTATCTTATTGCGATGGGTGTATGTAGGAGTCATATTTTTTCTAGACTGCATTATATTGTATCATACCGTCATCTACATAAGTCATTGGAATGTATTTTAGCTAGGTATAGTTTGCCTAATATCTTTAACTAATCACATCGTCATCAAAGTTTAATCTTATTAATCTGCATCCCGTTACCACCTTTCTCGGGTCAATAAACCATTGAATAGTTTCATATTCCGAAACCATAAAATATTTGAGAATATGTTTCGTTATTATTAAGAGAAAGGCATGGCAATTTAGATACCATTCTACCATCGTTGAAAGATTATGCTTAAGCAAAAAGAGCTTGTATTAGGTTTTAACTTGTAACCATGTTAAGAAGTAATCAAATATTTCAATGTTCATTCATTCAACCTTTATGATGATGATGATGATGCTTAGGAGTATTACTTATGATATAAAAAGCTATTAAAGCAACAAATACCCAATTGTTTTGTTTTTCCAGCTAGTATGCCAATGACAAAGCAGTTGAGTGTGGCAATTATTGACAGCAATCCAGCTCTGGGTAGTGGCTTAAGCATCCAAAGAGAAGACCCTCCTGATCCTAGAGTCAGTACAGTGACTCCTGCTTCTATATCATTTCTCCAAGGTATCCAGTTTTTAAGGTTTGTTTTTTACTACCGTTGTGTGGTTAATTTCTGTATCTGTTATCAATTTCTATCAACGAGTATCAGAGCACTACTGATTCGGGAGAGGAAATAAAAAAAGAGAAATATAATAGAAATAATTTACTGTTATTGATGATGGAATAGGTAGTTCAATACAATCTTAACATAAATAGAATAAAAGATAAATGATTCCTATCCAAGAATTTCGAGAGTCTTGGCCTCTCCCCTCCAAGAATTCGAGAGCTTGGTTTCTCCCTTCCAAATAACCTCTTCTAATTTTCTGGATAACCCATATAATCTGCAGTTTCCTAATTTTATCACACACCCCAAATAACTGCTACTAAATGTCAATATTAATTAAAAACAATAACTTCTAATGAAAAGTAACTACCTGGCAGAATAGAACAACCACACATTCAATTTTGGTTCCTAGTAATTCCTAAGTTCTAACATATTCCTAGCACCCAAGATATCTAAATGGAATTGTTCTTCATCATCAAAGTTAAGTGCATAACAGTCCTCCTGTTTTGAAATTTAGTGGTAGCCGTGTGTCTAATTTTAATTTGGTGCTATTTCTACTTTGTATACCTCTAAACTTTTGATTACTCAAGTCACTCACACGATACAGTTTCCTGCATTGGACAATCTATCAATTCTATATCACTATCAAGCTATTATAATTCATGACCAAAAGAATAGTCCAGTTTTTTTGCACGGTCTGTATTTTCCATTTACTTGTTTACTTGGCAACAACAACAACTACGCCTTATCCTACTAGGTGGGGTCGGCTACATGGATCAACGTTCGCCATAATGTTCTATCAAGGATCATGATTCTATCTGTTGATATTTGTAAATATAGTGTTAAAAATATTTGTATGTAGAATAGTCTCACATCGATTATATCATGTAATTAGTTGTAATCTCTCTATATATAATAAAGTCTCCGTAGTATTTTCAAAACACACGGTTTAACCTAAATGTCTCTTAGTCTCTCCTAATTCAACATGGTATCTAGAGCCTACTAAGAGGAAATTCTTCGTCGTGTTTTATCCGGTTGACCCACTGTCTTCCGGTGACAAATTTTTATTTTATTTTTGCAAACCATGTCATCACTTTTGTTTGTCTCTCACTTCCCAAAATTCTCCGGTAACCACCGGACTGCTGCCGCCATCCGCTGCTACTAATTTTGGCAACCTTCCGGCAAACTAATCCTATTGGCAAGAGCGCCTCCTTCGATCCGGCCAATCTTGACGATTTTTCCACCGCCGCACTCGCCACTGTGCAATTTTTCCAAATCCGATACTCAAGGCTACTCCTCAGAACTTTACGCCAAACTACGATGATTTCCTCAAGTGGTATCAGAGCTATCAGAACTCATATTCTATTGCTTCGGTTGCACACACTGGTAATTCATCTGTTTTCTTCTCTCAATCATCTTCTCTTGGACCTTGGGTCCTTGATTCTGGTGCGTCTGATCATGTTACTGGTAATAAAAATCTTTTCTCTTCCCTCTCTACCTCTGATTTCTTACCTACTATAACTTCTGCCAATGGTTCTCAAACCCGATCCAAAAGAATTGGTATTGTTCAAATTCTACCTTATCTCTTTGTTACTTTTGTACTCTATGTACCTAATTGTCCATTTAATTTAATTTCAGTCAGTCGTTTAACTCGTTCTCTTGATTGTATTGTCACCTTCACTAATAGTAATGTCATTTTGCAAGATCGGAGTTCGGGACGGACAATTGGCGTCGGATGTGAGTCTCAAGGCCTTTATTACCTTTTAGTGTCATCTCAGACATGCTCAGCCAAAGATTCTCCACTCACAATCCATACTCAGTTAGGTCATCTTAGTCTTTCTAAATTACAAAAGTTGGTGCCAAGTTTATCGAAAGTATCTAACTTACATTGTGAGTCGTGTCAGTTAGGGAAACACACTTGTAGTTAATTTCCCAATCAAGTCAATAAACAAGCTTCGTCCCCTTTTGCTTTAGTTCACTTTGATGTTTGGGGTCCCTCATGTACTATCTCTACTCTTGAGTCTAGGTATTTTGTCACATTTATTGATGATTTTTCACGTTGCACGTGGTTATTTTTAATGAAAAATAGATCAGAATTATTTTCTATTTTTGAAAATTTTTATAAAGAAATAAAAATTCAGTTTGGTGTGTTTATTTGTACCTTAAGAAGTGATAATGCTCGTAAATATTTATCCCAACAATTTCAAACTTTTATGTCCAGTAATGGTATTCTCCACCAAACATCTTGCCTTTATACACCTCAACAAAACGGAGTAGTCGAACGCAAAAATCGGCATCTTGTAGAAACCACTCGGACCCTACTTCTCCATGGTAATGTTCCACTTCGATTTTGGGGAGACGTTGTGCTAACGTCATGTTACCTTATAAATCGCATGCCATCATCTGTCATTAACAATAAAATCCCTCATTCAATCCTTTTTTTCCCATTCCCCCTTCACCCAATTCCTCCCCGAGTCTTCGGTTCTACATGTTTTGTACACAATCTCTCTCCTAGTCTTGATAAACTATCAGCTCAATCACTAAAGTGTGTTTTTCTTGCTTATCATCAATCCCAAAAAGGTTATCGTTGCCATTCACATACCCTACAACGATACCTCATGTCAGCCGATGTCATCTTCTTCGAGTCTGTTCCATATTTCGAGTCCAGCCAAGTAACTCCGGAACCCCTTCAGGAGAGTACTCCTACACCTCTTATGGAAGTCCCATATGTCACTATCCTCCATCATTCTAGGGAATCTGGCCCACTAGATAACCCTACGGTTTACCCCCTAACTTCTCGTCCACTTCAAACATATCAGCGTCGTTAACTAATGTTTGTCGTACCTGTCCCTGAGGTCATATTTGTCACTGAGATCGTACATGTCCCTGAAGTCATTGCAGACTCTCCTCTGATGTTCTCGCCATCACCGGATTCGATCCTGCAACTTGAGTCCGATCTTCTGATTGCCCTTCGAAAAGGTATACGTCAAACACGAAATCCTTCTCCACATTATATTGATTTATGCTATCATCGTCTTTCCTCTTTACAGTATACTTGTTGTCTTCTTTGTCTTCTGTTACTATTCCTAACACTCCAGATGAAGCATTATCTCACCATGAGTGGAGGCAAGCAATGATTGTTGAAATGTGTGCTCTTCAAAGCAGTCATGGGAACTGGTTCCTCTACCCCCTGGAAAATATTTAGTAGGTTGTCGTTGGCTTTGTACAATGAAAGTTGGTCCAAATGGTAAGATTGATCGATTTAAAGCTTGCTTGGTAGCCAAAGGATACTCAAATTTTTGGGTTGGATTATAGTGACACGTTCTCGCCTGTAGCCAAGATGACATCTGTTAGACTTCTTCTAGCCATTGCAGCCATTCGACATTGGCTTCTTCATCAACTTGACATCAAAAATGTATTTTTACATGGTGATCTTGAAAAGGAAGTATATATGGAGCAACCACCTGAGTTTGTTGCTCAGGGGGAGTCATCAAATATGGTTTATAGACTACACATGTCTCTTTATGGTCTTAAACAATCTCCGAGAGCTTGGTTTGGCAGATTCAACACTGTAGTCCAACAATTTGGTATGGTCCGTAGTGAAGCGGACCATTCAGTTTTTTATCATCGCTCAGCCCAAGGGTGTATTTATCTTATTGTGTATGTAGATGATATTGTTATAACTGGCAGTGATGAGCAGGGAATACTCCAGTTGAATCAACATCTTTCGAATCAATTTCAGACAAAAGATCTTGGTAAACTCCGATATTTCTTGGGTATTGAGGTAGCCCAATCTAAAGATGGTTTGGTGATTTCTCAGCGGAAATATGCGATGGATATTTTGGAAGAAACAAGTTTGTTGAACGCTAAACCAGCTGATACTCCTATGGATCCAAGTGTGAAACTACTACCCAATCAGGGGAAGCCTCTATCAGACTCGGGAAGGTATAGGAGATTGGTTGGAAAGTTGAATTATCTCACAGTCACTCGTCCAGACATTTCTTTTGCAGTCAGTGTGGTAAGTCAGTTCTTAAATTCCCCTTGTCAGGAACACATGGATGCAATTATTCGGATTCCGAGATACATCAAATGTGCTCCAGGAAAAAGGTTGTGTATGAAGATGAAAGACATACTCAGATAGTTGGATACTCCGATGCTGATTGGGCAGGGTCACCAATTGATAGACGATTCACCTCTAGGTATTATGTACTTGTTCGAGGAAACCTTATATCTTGGAAAAGTAAGAAACAAAATGTAGTTGCAAGATCAAGCGCTGAGGCAGAGTATAGGGTCATGACAATGGCAACATGTGAACTCATTGGTTAAAACAGTTGCTCAAAGAACTTCAAATTGAAGAAGCAAGGCCAATGACACTTGTATGTGATAATCAAGTTGCATTGCACATTGCTTCAAATCCAGTCTTTCATGAAAGGACCAAACATATTGAGATAGACTGTCACTTTGTCAGAGAGAAGATTGATTCTGGCGACATCGTCACAAGTTTTGTCAACTCTAATGATCAATTGACAAATGTGTTTACAAAATCTCTACGAAGTCCCATAACTAATTATATATGTGGCAAGCTTGATGCATTTGACTTATATGCTCCAACTCGAGGGAGAGTGTTGATATTTGTAAATATATAGTGTTAAGAATATTTGTATGTAAAATAGTCCCACATCGATTATATCATGTAATTAGTTGTAATCTCTCTATATATAATAAAGTCTTCGTAGTGCTTTCAAAACACACGGTTTAACCTAAATATTTCTTAGTCTCTCCTAATTCAACACTATCTAAATCATTAATTTCGAGATCCTTATTGATAACTTCTCTTATAGTCTTTTTGGGTCTTCCTCGAATTGTTTGTCTTCTCTCCATCTAGTCTACTCTCCTTATTATAGAGTCTACAGGTCTTCTCACTACATGCTCAAACCACCTAAGTCTATTTTCAACCATCTTCTCTACAATAAGCGTTACTCCAACACTCTCTCTAATAATTTCATTTCTAATTTTATCCTGTCGAGTCTTACCACGCATCCACCGCAACATCCTCATCTCCGCTACACCTACTTTATTCTCGTGTTGGTTCTTAACTGCCAACATTCTGACCTGTACAAAATCGCAGGTCTTACCGCAGTCCGATAATTTACCGGTACCTTTGCATCACATAAAACATCTGATGCCTTTCTCCATTTCATCCATCCAATTTGAATACGATGATTTACATCCCCTTCCATTTCTCCATCATTCTATATTACGGACCCAAGATATTTAAACCGTGTGATTGGAGGGATAATATGGTCTTCTACTTTCACCAAACCCTGCTTCTTTTGTTGAACTTACATTCCAATACTCCGACTTACTTCTACTTAGGCGAAAACCATGTGTTTCTAAAGCTTTTCTCCAAGTCTCCAACCTCTCATTTAACTCCTCCCTCGGCCCTCCAAGGAGGACTATATCATGTGCAAAAAGCATGCATCTTGGCATTATCTCTTGGATTTGTTCCGTGAGTACATCTAAAATTAAAGTAAAAAGGTAGAGGGGCTTAGGGTTGACCCTTGATGCAAACCAATTGTAGGGGCTTAGGGTTGACCTTTGATGCAAACCAATTGTAGGGGCTTAGGGTTGACCCTTGATGCAAACCAATTGTGATGGGAAAATCGTCTGTCTTTCCACCCTTTGTCCTAACACTAGTCGATACCCTTTGTCCTAACACTAGTCGATACCCTTTCATACATATCTTGGATAACTCGAATATATGCAACCCTAACCCCTTTCTTCTCTAGAGCTTTCCACATAATCTCTCTAGGCACTCTATCATACGCCTTCTCCAAGTCTATAAAAATCAAGTGCATGTCTTGTTAGTCCATTCGATATTGCTCCATCACCCGCCGTAATAGAAAAATCGCGTCAATGGTCGACCTTCCCGACATAAAACCAAATTGATTCTCAGTAACTTGAGTCTCTTTTCTTAATCTCCGTTCAATCACTCTTTCCCATAATTTCATGGTATGACTCATAAGCTTGACTCTCCTATAATTTGCACAATTTTGTATATCCCCTTTGTTCTTATAGATAGGAACTAAAGTGCTTCTCCTCCATTCATCCGGCATGCTTTTGACCTCATAATTTCATTAAAGAGTTTGGTGAGCCACTCAATACCTCTATCTCCAAGAATTTTTGACACTTAAATAGGTATGTTGTCTGGCCCCACCGCCTTACTGTTACTCATTCTTTTTAACGCTTCCTTTACCTCCTGTTTCTGAGTCCGACGATAGTAACTATAGTTCCAATCCTTTTCTCTTATGTCTAGTCTGCTAGAGTCATACCCATGTTCATTAAATAAGTTGTGGAAATACGCCTTCCATCTATTCTTTATATCTTTTTCCTGCACTAAGACTTTGCCTTCTTCATCCTTAACACACTTTACTTGATCCAAATCTCTAGTCTTTCTCTCTCTTCCCTTAGCAAGCCTATATATAGATCTTTCTCCCTCCTTGGTTCCTAGAGATTGGTATAGTCCATCAAAAGCTTGGGTTCTTGCTTCACTCACCGCTTTTTTGATTTCATTTTTAGCCATCTTGTACTTTTTCCAAATTTCAAAATCTTGTTTACTTGGCATAAAATGAAAATATCTAGCGGTAATTAGACCCTGGTTGATGAGTGTATTTGCTTCTACATGATGAAGTTTTGCTAAAATTGAATTTAAAGTCCTCTTGATGTCTGATCTATTTTCAGATGCTGGTGCTTGGAATTATGTTGAGCAAAACAGACATGCTTATTTTAAAAAAATGCAGGTACTTTTTCTTTCTCATTCATTATAGTGATTAGGCTTTAAAGTTTAAACTATATAAATTTCAATGATGGATGAGTTCTCGAAGTGCAAAGTTGTTAGGAGTTATTTAGGGAAATTGAATTGAGTATTGTGACACATAAGTGCTATTCTCTTTAGATTCTATGCAAAAACAATAAATATTTACAATCATATATAAATCACTTGCGTTATTGCTCGCAACAGAATTATTAGAGTATAGTTGGGATTTTGATTGGGGAATAGGTTCTTGGCCTATATTTTGAAAAATGAAGGATAATAGTTTATGTTCTATGTGATACGAAAATACCTCTCTATTTGAAGGGAAAATTTGATCGAATAGTTGTAAAACCGACGATGTTGAACGAGATCAAATGTTCGGCTGTAAAGAACCAATTCGAAAATAAACAAATGTAGCAGAGATGAGGAAGCTGTGTTGGATGAGTGGTAAGACTAGAAGAGATAAAATTAAAATGAAAATATTAGAAAGTGGGTAGCACCTATAGTAGAAAAAATGGTGGAAAATAGACTTAGGTGATTTGAGCATGAAGCAAGAAGACCCGTAGATTTTGTGATAAGGTGAGTAAATCAGATTGAGAGAAGTCAAACAGTTGAGGTAGTGGAAGACGTAGAAAAACTAGAGAAGTTATTAAGAAAGATCTCGAGATTAATGATATGGATCGAAATATGGTCATGCATAGAACATTGTGGTGAAAGTTGATCCATGTAACCGACCTTAAAGACTTGTTCTTGTTGTTTGTTAGGGGTAACACCTATAATAGAAAAAGATGGTAGAAAATATACTTAAAAAATTTGGGTATATAAACAAAAGACATGTAGATTTTGTTGTACGGAGAGTAGATCGGATAAAGAGTAGTCAAATGACTAAAGGTAGAGGAAGACCTAGAAATATTATAAGAGAAACTATTAAAAAAAATCTTGAGATTAACGAGTTGGATAAAAATATGGTTTTTGATAGAACATTATGGCATAATTTGATCCATATAACCGACTCCGCTTGGTGAGGTAAAGCTTAGTTGTTGTTGGTTGGTTAACCTATGGATGAGATTTTCGTGACTAACCCTGATAAAATAATAAAATAACTTTGTCCCAGTGTATGCAGGATCGCGAGTTAGCACGTAAACTTGTACGATCTTACGTTCCAATAGCATGTCAACATATTGCGTTTCATGTGAGATCGTATGCACTAAACTCGGCGAATTCGTACGAGTTCAGGTAGTAAACTCGTTCTGTTTTCAGAGATGAGGTCTCCATGACAAGCCCTGATAAAATAATAAAATAACACTGTCCTAGTGCATGCTGCATCAAGAGTTAACACATGCTTGTACGATCTTATGTTCCAACAACATATTCAGCTGGGATTGTATTCACCAAACTCGGCGAACTCGAACAAGTTCGGGAACCAAACTCGTCTATTTTTCAGAGATGCGACACCGGCCATTGCATGCTGTAGTTTAAATCCTGGACCATGTTTAGCAGCAAGTTCAAACATCATATGCAGGCTTTAAACCGATATGGAAAATTATTGATAAAAGATGGGACAAACAACTACATCAGCTCTTTTTTTTGGGTTTTTAAAAAAACCATAATTTTTAAAATGGACTCGGGTCCGAGTTGGGTTACATTAAAACTTTAATTTAATTTTTTTTTAGGAAATTGGAGAGATATGCTCTCAGCGTATGATTTCTTTCTCTTCTAAAAAAACAGCGTATCATTTCTTTCTCTTCTAAAAAAAGTTACACTTACCATCAATTAAAACTCTTTTATTTAACCATAAAATCTCATTATCTATCATTATTCTTCTTCCTTATTACGGTCAGAAACATAAATGCTTCCTCTGCCTCGTTCTAAACACTACATACAACTTCCTCTTTCAGGCTTCCTCGTCCCTTGTTTTTCTATTTTTTTCATTAATCTGTTTTTCATCTCTTTCTTTACTCTTTAGATTCTATTTGATGCAAAGGACTTTAAATAATGGAACTGCATCAATATCTCTTATAATAAACAGAACTCTTCTAAAGAATGCTCTTGGAAATAAGTCTGATCCAGCATGAGAGCATGCTTTACCTATTCTGAACACAAGAAGGTGAAAGTGCAACTGAACACAAGAAGGTGAAAGTGCAACTATTGTGGAGGAAGAGTTTAGCGGAGGAGTCTATCGAATCAAACATTATTTGGCCGAAACTAGTAAGGATCAAATCTTGCATAGCTGTTCCAGATGAAGTTAAGAAGGAATAATGAATGTTAATGTGGAATTACAAACAAAGTTGATTCAGAAGTCAAATTTGTATGACATTGAAGAGTCCAATACTGTTAGTGGATCATCTAGCAAAGAAAAAAAGTCGAGAAGAGAATGTGAATACCACAAATATGTTTAAGAAACGTGGAGTAGGAGTGAGAGAGGATACATGTAAGGTCATTGCTTTATGTATTTACAACAATTCTATTCCATTTAGTGTGACTAATAGTGAAGAATGAAATATGATGTTTGAACTTGCGGCTAAACATGGTACAGAATGTAATCCACCATCCAATTATGGCCTCCAATATGTAAAATTATTGATGAAAGATGGGATAAATAAATACATCGGCCATTGCATGTTGTAGTTTAAATCCTGGACCATGTTTAGCAGCAAGTTTAAACATCATATTCCATTCTTCACTATTAGTCACATTAAGTGGAATAACATTGTTGTAAATACATAGAATGGTCTTACACGCATCCTTTCTAATCTCCTTTTTCCGCATGCTGTTTATAGTCGCTTGAGAAGTCACTACTACTACACATTTGTTAAACATATTTGTGGTGTTCACAATCTCTTCGCAAGGAAGATGGACATTAACGGTATTAGGCTTTTCAGTGTCACATAAATTTTAGTTTGTAATTCCAGAATAAAAAAGTGATTATTTCTTTCTTAACTTCACCCGGAACAACTCTATAAGGTTTGACATCCTTACTAGTTCTGAAATGATGTTTGATTCGATAAGCTCCTTCGCTAAACTTTTTCCCACAATAGTTGCACTTACTCATTGTGTTCGGAAAGGTAAAAAATGCTTCCATACCGGATCAGACTTATTTCCGGGAGCATTCTTTAGAACAATTTTGTTGCTTACCGGAGATATTTGATGCACTTCCATTATTTGAAGTCATTTGATGAATCTAAAGATGAAAAACAAAGGATAGAAAAATAAGGGATGAGGAAGTTGTATGTAGTGTTTAGAACAAGGAAGCGTTTATGTTTCTAATAGTAATAAGGAAAAATAATAATGATAGAGATCAAAATTTTATGGTGAAGTAAACGAGTTTTAATAGATGGTAATTGTAACGTTTTTTTAGAAGAGAAAGAAATGATACACTTTTTTTAGAAGAGAAAGAAATGATAGTTAGGAGCTCTGAAGCATGGGTACTTTTAAAATGGTGAAGTCCCGGTATCGGGAACGTATCCATATCGGGTACACGTACCGTACCCGTGCATTTCCTCTCATTATTCAATTTCTAGTGAAATTTGTGAGTTTCTTGAATATCAATATAGTATATTTATGTATTTTAATTTCTTTGACATTGTATCTTAACATTATTTTCAATTTTTTATACTTTTATAATGATGTTTTGTAGTGAACCTAACGACTTAGTTCTCTACTCATACATTTTATAAAATACTCTTAGTTTTTATTAACGTACACGTACCTTGATTTTTTTTTAATTGTCGTATCCCGTATTGGTACCAGTGCCCGCACTGGTACTGTAACCGTACCTATCCATCATAGGTTGGAAGCATATCTCTCCAAATTCATATTTAAAATTAAGTTTTTAATGCGTCCCGGATCCAGGTCCATTTTAAAAATTAGGTTTTTTTCTTTAAGCTCCCCAAAAAAAAACTAGCTCAACCTTTTAGCAATGTTGTCAAATGTCGGCCATTGCAGATATCCCTGATAGATTGTTGGATCTTTGCCATGGCCAGGTTTGTGAGGATGACGATACCATACGCTGTGGATACGGTGGCGCCATGTATTGCACCAGTAGTATTAGTATTTGACCTAATTATCATTAGTGTAAGTAGGAGCACTAAGATATCGTATACCGACACATTCCTTTTAAAATTTCTTTTACAGTCCACTTTTAGCCATCTATTTCTTTTATCTTATCAAAAGTCTAAACCCTAAAGCTTCAACAAAACATCTTCCAACATAAAATTCTAAGATTAACTTGTAAAAAAAGAACAATCTTTCATAAAAAAAATTGATGTTTCAAAATGTGATCAACCGCTCAAATTTGATAGAGTCCAACGGTGTCAATTGATCTATAGAGCCAATTCCATCTGATGGAATAAAGGTTTGGTTGTAATATTTATTTATTTTTCCAATTTAAGCACAGAAGTTCTTTCAAACGAGTGCTTTTCATGTATTTCTTTCTTCAATGTAGTAGACTCCTTGTGCCCTAAGAATGCCTCTTTATTCTGACTACATTGTTTATGCCAATATTCAAAATTGTATTTTTTTTGTACCTTTCTGCAGGTCTGGGATTATACTGGTTTTGGGTTTGCTAGATACGATGCAAGAGATGTAAATAAAGACTTTCTAGGGTAAGTGTAGGCATGTTGTGGTTAAGAAAAGTTCTTTGAAAATGGTTTTCACATTACTAATTGCAAAAAATTGATAAACCAGGTGTGTAGCAGAGAATAAAGTGCTTCATAGTGCCTTATTGTCATGCGTAAAGGTATAATTCACCTTGTTAGTCTGTGATATGGAGTATATAGTTGATTGTGATACAGCACTGTATGAGAAAAAATTTGAATTATTTTTATTGACTTTGAACTTTTAGTATCAAACATTTTATAATGTTATAAAAGGGTGCAGAAACGGAAGCAAAATGATCCTAATTCTGAAGAGAAAAATCTGCCTAAATAAAATCCCATATTTAAAGGATTCCAAAACTGTTTTTCCTAATCTTTTTGCAGTATGCTACAATATTTACAGCTCCGCACTTTCCCTCAAGCTTTCATTCCCAGCTTTGGTTAATGTCATGAAATCTTGAGCCATTCGGCCCCTTTTTAAGAAACATTGGCTAATTGTTATCATGATAATAGATACACAGGACATGCACACCTTCCTCCATTTTTTCTTTATTGACCGCCTGTCTGTTTCAATATGGTTTATCCTATAATGCACATAGGATTTCAAGCAATATTGGTAGCTGACTTTTACAATAGAGTTTCATAGAATCCTCCTAGTTGACTCTGTCGTGTAGTATGTATAATCTTCAGCTAAACTAGTTTACATAGTCATTGGGAAATAGCCCCAAAATCTGATTATGTTGATGATTGAATCACCACATTTCTTATTGCCCTTCACATCACTAAAATACCCTGAAGGAAGGTACAATACCAGAAGTTGATCTTCTACCACAGTCAACACCTGCGTAAGCTTCTAAGGCTAGAGCCTCTTTATTCTTGCACAAAATTCCTTTCCCAAGACTTCTTTTCAAATAATGCAGTATCTGGTATGTAGTTTGAAGTTGAGTTTCTCTTGGGTCGAGCATAAACTGACTTACAAGTCTCATTGACTATGCTATGTCAGGCCTAGTGTGAGCAAGGCATATGAGCTTACCTACCAGCCTTTGGTTCATTCTCTTATCAATGACTGGATATTCTTTAGCTTCTCCCAACTTATCATTAGGTATCATTTGGGTAATAACTGGATTGCGTTCAATCTTTCGTTTTTCTACCAACAAATAGGTAAGAGTTTCATCTTGTAACCTTAAGGGACAGAGTTCAAATCCTCTCGGAGACATTTGTAAAATAGTCCATAGTGACACTTTATTAATAGTTTTCCCATTCCCTATTTTTCAATAAAAAATATCTCTTACGCAATTTAGTACCAATTTTAGTCTCATTCATGTGGTAAAAATGGACTAAATTAATTATTAAGTCTCATATTTTCATACTCTTTAACTAATTTTGTTACTGTGTGCTAAGATAAGCTTGCTAGTGCTAGAGTAAAATGTAATTGAGATGCAATACTGTCTTGTCTCTGGTTGTTCTAGAATTTCTTTTGTAATTGTACCGTTTCACTTTTATGTTTTAAATAATGTCAGCACCATTATGTCACTCACTTAAGCTATTTTTTGTCTCCCTGGACGGTTACTCTATCAAAAACTTTGCTTATTATATTTTTCAACGAGTGGAATTTTTTATTCCGAGGCACAACTCTTATATTTCATTGAGAATTACAAACTTAACAGGATTCTGATTTCAAGACAACATTCTACCCGTCAAGATTAACTTCAATGACTTTGAGTACAAACTCTATGTCTACTGTGAAGGCGAGTATACCATCTAAAGAACTACCATCTGGTCAAGGTCATACTTCAAAGCTGCAACTTAGTGATGGCAGTAGCTTATATGCCAAGTTGGTGGTAAGAGAAAGTTTGCTTACCTTTTATGTAATTTATGTTGCGGTGCTACGATGATGAATTCATATTTGAAGTTCCATTTATTAGCAACTGTCTGAAAATTATAACTTAACATACTGCAATTGGAGTCTATTAGTCTAATCACATAGATGTTTGTTCTGAAGGTCGGGGCTGATGGAGGAAAATCCCGCGTTAGGGAGTTAGCAGGTTTCAAAACAACTGGATGGAATTACTCTCAGAATGCAATAATCTGTACTGTAGAGCATACTTCTGCTAACCATTGTGCGTGGCAACGGTTTCTACCTAACGGCCCAATTGCACTTCTACCGATGGGTGATAATTTTAGCAACATTGTTTGGACCATGAGTCCAACAGAGTCCACCGATCGCAAATCAATCACCGAGGAAATGTTTTTGAAGGATGTTAATTCAGCTTTTGATGATGGATATGGACCTCATCCCACATCAAGCTCGTTAGGACCACGAGACCTGTTTTCTTGGCTTAAAATGGATCCAACTTTATCAGCTAATGAAGTCTTTGAAATTCCTCCAAAAGCAATAAGATTGGCATCCGAAAGGATGGTGTTTCCTCTGTCTTTAAGGCATGCCAATTCTTATGCATCAAAACGCATTGTTCTAATAGGAGATGCAGCCCACACTATCCATCCTCTTGCCGGTCAAGGGGTTAATTTGGGTTTTGGAGATGCATTTTCTCTTTCAAGAGTTATTGCAGAGGGTATCGCTTTGGGATCTGATATTGGAGAGGTATGTTATGTCTTTGATGTTCATTTCATGGTGTTCATAAGATTAAGACCCTGTTTGGATAAACAACTTAATTAATATAAATGACTAATGACTATGTATAAGTTATTTCTATAGCAAAAAAGATACAATAAAGTTAAAATATCTTCATATAAGTTATAAGATGTTTTATAAGGTATCTTTAAGAGCTTATGGAAATAAGCTAAAAACAACTTATGGACAATGTCATATACTGTTAGCATAAACCCTCTCAAATAAGCCAATCGAAACATATGCTCTAAAGACTAGAGAGAATTGCTTTGGAAACCCATATTAGAGGCATATTTTATGTCTCGAATGCTTTTATCACCGCACCTTGACTTCTCTTATGTGTCAGCCAGCCCAACTAGCAAAGGGCAGGAAGCCTCCGAATTCAGGGAACTAAATAAAACATAGGAGGAGGATTTGTACGGTTTTCAGCTAGTCCTCAATCCCTTAAACTCTTTTCTAAAAAGTAAATGTTTATTTCAACTTCTTAATGTCGATCTGCAGGTAAGTTTGTTAAAGAAGTACGAAGCAGATAGGAAACCAGCAAATGTTGCGATGATGGCATTACTCGACGGCTTCCAAAAAGCTTACTCTGTTGATTTTGGGCCTTTTAATTTTCTGCGAGCTGCAGCCTTCAATGGAGCAAACTATATATCACCACTCAAGAGAAGAATAATTTCTTATGCTTCAGGGGAGAATAAATTGCCCATTTTCTTCTGAACATAAAATGTAGTTGAATTAAATTTAGAGTAATTTCTCAACAGCATTTGACACATGGCCAATTCTTTTATTATGCTTTAATCAAAATAAGTTTTGGCCAAAGGTTCAGCAACACCATAGTTTTATCCATGTAAAGTTTTTATGCATCATGGGTGGAAGTTGGTCAGTCTTGCATCTTGCTAAGTATATATTTACGATGAAAGTTAGTGCATCAATACATGACAATAGTATGATAGTAAAATAGTGTTCTCTCTATTATGGAGTATGTCATATTGATTTTTTATTTATTTATATTTTGCTATAAACCTGCAATCACATGTTATTGCGGGGGAACAAATGAAATGACATAGAAAAGTGACAGCAATAAAAAAAAAGGTTATTTCTATTTATCAATTTCTTAAAAGTATTTGTTTGTTTACTTTTAAAAAATAGTTTTTTTTTTGTATTTTTAAATATGATTTTTATAAAATATTAAAAAATTTCAATTTTGTGATTTATAAATTAAAATACTATTTTTGATATTCAGTAATATTATTAAAAATTAAAATATTATCAAAATCACAAATAATAATAATATATTTTAAAAATAATATATTTCAAAAATTATATTTATGTAAAATTATTAAAAATGATGACATTTAAGGTGACCATAATGTATAAAATAAAATATATTTAGAGCTCAAGATGAGTTATGGAAAAAATGGAACAAATATAACTCCTTACACCGTAAGTCCGTGACCCACCGCCCTCTCTCTCCTATCATCTCAGGGGTTTGTTTTTTTGGATTGCAAATTTATATATACTGAAATATTTTTTGTTTTTAAGAAATTATGTTTAAGAACTGTTTATTTTAAAAAACTTATTTTACATATAATTTTTTCATTTTCTATTTTCAATATTATAAAGTGAAATTTTTTTATTCCAATTAGAATAAAAACTAATCATTTATAATTTTCAATTTTTAAATATTTTAATTCATTTATTTTTTATTTAGAAATTTAAATTAAATATATTTTATAAATATTCTTAAAAAATTAAATTACTCACCAAACATCTGTACCGAAATAAAATTTTCAATAATAATATTTTCATGGATAATATTTTCAGAATTAGTTTTAATCTCAAAACAAAATACAATTTTTTAGGGGTTTAAATAGTGTTTTGGTCCTTTTAAATTAGCGAGTTTTTGCATTTAGTTCCTAAATTTTTTTTCCAGGCTTGTGACCTTATATCTCAAGTTTGTATTGATTTTGGTCTCTGACGTTAATAGTCTGTTAAAAAAACACCGAATTATCAAACAGCACTGACGTGGAATGACATTTTATTTTATTTCTTAATTTTTTGCAGACATGACCAATGACTTATGTGTGAGTGCAACTTGCCTCTAAATGTATTTTGCATGATGTAAATTGATAAGAAGTTTCATATCAAAACTATGAAATTAGGGTTTCTACAATAAAAGGGGAAAAACAATAAAATGACTAAATAAAATAAAAGAGATAAAAGACATTTTTCATTTGATTCTTGATATCCTTATCAAAGAGACTACATATATAGTACTCACAATAGATAATAAACTTAAGAGCCCAAATACTACTAATAACTCAATTCAACAACATTCAAAATAAAATAACTACAAACATAAATTCTATTAAAATATCTAATTGCACCTCCTATCGTTACCTACCCCTTCAAAAACAACCTTATTCTCAAGGTTGTAAGTGAGATAAATCTTATCCAAATAAAACCTTGTCCTTAAAATTTAAAATATTTTCTGAAAAATGTGGCTCAATTGTGTAATCCGGTTGCAGTAAATTTTGCAAGGAAGTGAAAGCTTGCTGATTGTTAGAGAGAGGTGTAGTAAGATTGGTTTGGGTGTTGCATGTAGTGGAGCTAAATTAGCTTGGATAAAAAAAGTGGAACAATGATTGATCAATTTAATGTTAGTTTTGAAAAGAAAGGACAGACACGTGTTGCATTTTTGTTGGGGAGAATATATCCATCAGAAAATACACAGTTGAGATGAATGCACAATATCACATGTCTGGAAAGGGATGGTGGGAACACTTTTAAGAAGTAGAATTGATGGAGACATAGTCTTTTTCTAAGAGAGAGTGGAGCACATGTCATAATTTTGAAGGCTCTGTATTTATTGTTGGAGTCCAAGGAAAATGAGTACCCATGGGTGAGAATATTTGCAACATGAATACTCTTTTCTAATCAATTTTTTAAAACCAGAATTTTATCTTGATTTTTGGCTTGGTGATCTATTCACCCCTCTCCTCTAGATAAGGCGTCGTCGTCTAACAAATTGCATCAAGAGTCGGGTTAGTTCTGACTTCAAAATTTATTAGAAAATGGCGTACGAATCTAAATGGGATTATAAAAGAGCCCCAATTTTTATAGGACATTGATTTCTCCTTTAGGTTTTTCTTCGATGAATTTCCTTTCCCTTTATGTGGGATAAATAAATACTCGGTGGCGACTTCATTGATTTTACCGCTACAAAAAAATGGCGACTTCACTAGGGAGAAACATGTTAACCAATTGCTAGTCCATCCCGTGAGTCACTTCTAGCTCCCGTTTTCTTTTCTTAGGGTGTTTATCTTTATGCTTTATAGCTTATTCATTTGTATATGTTTGAGCATATGTATGCATTGCATTTTATCGCTTTTCATATATTATACATTTCTGTAGTGCTGGATTATGTGTTTCTTGATGGGTGGGATGTTACTATGAGGTAAAAGACCCAATACCTAGGCCAAGTGGCAACCATAGGAACACTGGGAATAGAGTGGAACATGAATGGCTAGTTGGCTTAGGTTTCACTATGCCGTCATGTCGTCCATGCTCAAATGAGGTACAAATGAGGGGTTATCGTTTTCACGTAGGTGATACGACGATAGTTTTCAAGAGTACCCTCTATTCTGAGTTACCCTTGCCTTACCATGACTTAGTCTTTACCCGTGAGTGGGGAGGGAATAATCTTTACAGGTACAAATGGTGATTATATATTCTGTTGGTGACTTCGGTTCTTGGTATTCTGAATTGGTCCAGACCTTTAATCTTGTTACATATGACTGTGGTTCTGTTATCAGTTCAACAACTATCCAGTATTGCGGAATCTTTGATCCCACATGTTTGCATACATATCATGATAATGTAATTATTAGAATACATGTTACTTCGCTTACAATCATCATTTCTTTGATTCCAATTGTTAAGCCGCTAAAAAATGAACATTATTAAGAAAAATACCATGGCTTAACAACAGGAATCAAAGCGTATAAAATCTTGGAAACGAGAACATAGAATTTGTATTGCATGTAATGCATCATGTTGCATTTAATTATGCATTTCACGAGTTCCCCAGAAGTCTTATTCAAGGTCCTTTAGTCTTTAGAAACAAATTGTCTCACCAGTACAACACTCAGGCTAATTTGAGAAAGAAGATGGAAAACATTAAGCAAGAGATCTTTGAACTTCGCAAAGAGGTAACTACTTTGAAGGATGATATAGAGTATCTAACTGCTTTTGGTATAAACTTTGGTTGTCGCCCAAGTAAATCCTTCTAGTAAGGAAGAAGAGATGACAAAGGTCTTCACAAAAACTTTGAAATCATTCTTTCATGAGAAGGTGATAGTCAATGCACCCAATGATTTCCCTGAAAAGGTGAATATGGGAGTGCTTCTAGAAGAGGATGTCCGAAAGGAATGTTTATCTGAAGACAATGACACATCTAGTGGTGTAAAGAAGTTTGATAATAACTTTTCTAAGAAGAGAACCAGAGGAAGAAATAATCATCGTCAGAATCAACATGTTTCTTCTGTCATCCCTGTGTTCAATTTACCTCCTACCGCTCCAGTTTGTCAATAGAATCAACAAGTTTCTGATAAGAAGAAAGCTCAGTTTGATCCAATTCCAATGACCTATAAAGAGTTGTTTCCTATCCTAATGCATATGAATTTGGTTAATACCCGACCTTCACCGAAGATTCCTGAGAAGATACCTTGGTACTACAAAGCTGATTTGACTTGCGCCTTTCATTAGGGAGCCCCTGGGCATAGTATCGAACAATTTTATCCATTGAAAGCTGAAGTCCAGAAATTGATCAGAAGTGGTATCTTGTCACTTAAGGATATTTGTCTTAAGGTACAATCCAAGTCATTTCCGAAGGATAAACATGATTGAAGGATACCTTGGAGTTTAAAGATGATTAGCCTTCTCAGTTTACTAACAATTTTACTGATTTCTCATTCGTGATTTTTTCTTGTTGATCACTGTATTGTTGGCATGTAAGAGCTTATTTACATTTGAATGATTATCTTAATAAAATGAATATGTTTGTCTTGAAGAAACCCATTCATCTCACTAGTGTTTATTTTCAATCTTAAAAATTGCTTTTTGCATTATGATACCAACTTGTTATCCATTCTCTTGTCTAGACAGAGATTGGAGGGAGTATGGTGAATTTAAAACGCAAAATTTCTTGGTTGTATACTTTTGAATAAAACCCTGTTAATGATGTACATGCATTATTTCAAATCCCCAAACACCAGAGATATAAGGGAGTGAAACCCTCGTTAACCCCTTTGAGTCTTGAAGTAGGAGTTTATTTATTTTTTAAATAAAAAAACCCTCATTTTTAACCCGGGGCAGGGTATTGTTCAGTTAATTTGATCGAGCATTCAGAACTCATCAGGAGTGCGCACCTAAGGATACACCAATGGTTATCCTTCAAAAGCTTGAGGAAATTCAAAACCACAGTGGTTAACCTGCACTTCTCATGAATGTGCGTCAATTGATGATATCCCAATGGGCATCTCTCACACATTAGGAGGTCAGTAGATGACGATACAAAGATAGTTATCCTTCATCTACCAAGAAATAGGACGGTACAATTATTCTAACAAGTCAAAAATGACTCGAAGTCACGCGACGTGTTCAAAAGGAAAGAAAGGGTAATATAAAAATGATGAAAAATGAAATGAATAAGAAAT